GCTCGCTCCCTCCCCGCCAGCACGGGAGCGGGACCTGTGCCCCCATCCCTGACCGGCTTTGCCCAAAACAGCCTTTTCTCCCCAAAGCGGGGCCGGACCCGCACCCTGCTGCCCCGCGGCTGGGGGCAGAGGTGGGGAAAACCACGGTCGGGATACTCCTCTCTTCCTCGGAAACCTCTGTCTGAAAGCACAGCTACTCTGAGATGTTATTTTTTCACGACAGTTTCTACACTTTTTGTGAAATCCATACCAATGTTATTGCAAACTTCTCCCTCCTTCCCCCCTACCCCGTTTTTCTTTAGCAATAGCTGCAGGAAAACCAGAAACGATGGAGAAGGAGTTGTGAAAATGTCTGTAAAACCTTTGCAGATGCTGGTGGCAGCACAAGGACTCTCACTTCTCCGGGTACCTGCGGCTGGAGGGAGATGGGAAATGTCGGAAACGAAACCCTGTCGCGAGGTGTGTTAAATATGTCAGAAATTTGGAATAACTGCCCACAGGCATTGCTCTTGCTCCTGCTGCAGGCTCTCCCTGCAGCAACATGGGAAAGAAAACAGCTTTATTATGATTTTTTTATTAAAAATCTGAAAACATAATTGCACAGGGATTTGGGGGACAGAAGAAGGACCTGAGGTTGCTTTAGTGTAGCCTTTGACACTGGCTGGGTTTCAGGACCTCGATGCCCCTTTCCCTGATTCTCACAACGCTGCTGTAGCCTCGGGAAGAGCCGCAGCCCCAGGATGGCGAGCGGCCCTGCCTGGCTTTGGGGCTGCCTGCTCTGGGCAGGGCAGGGTCGGCCCCGGCAGCGAGATTCGTGCCTCCATCTCCTCTCTGGTGGGAAGCAATGCTGCTCACCACTGCAGGGGGTAACAAGCCGCATTCACCGTGCCAGGTTTCCCACCCTTCCAGCCCTGCCTGTCCCCCCAAAGCCACCCTGGGGTGCCCCAGGTGAGGAGAATGGATCCCACCAGCCTTGCCCGGCCCCATCCTTCGCCCCAGAGGGCACCACGGCTCCCTCCGCCGAAGCTGTGTGTCCGTAGGGCAAAACACTGTGGGAACGGGCTAATAAACAGCGAATCGAGTGACCTCAGCCCTGCCTGCAAAGGCAGCCAGCAGCGGGCTTTGACCTTCTCGGTACCCAGGGTACACTTTGCCTCTCTCATCACTATCGATGCATTTGCTCCCAGGAGCTTCGGTTGGGAAACAGGATGTGAGCGTGTGAGATGGCCGCTCGCCCTCCCAAATACGTGGGAGCTCGGAGCCTGCCGGGGTGCTCCCGTCCCTGCCGCTGCGGGAAGCAGGGCTTGCCCTGAGCCGGGGTGGCAGTGCCGGTGCTCGTCTGCCGGCCAGGGGACCAGGATTGCCCCCTGTGCTCTGCCGCGGGCTGCCGGGGAGGCTGCGCTAGGGCAGCAGCCAGGTCAGAGGAGCTACGAGATGTGGGATGGGTTATAAGCTGCCCCAGATGCAAAGCACAAACCCTGCTTAAACACCCATAAAGGTGATATATATGCTGCCCTGCAAAGGAAAACATGTTTCCCTTTGCAGGTACGGTGGGGTACTGAGCACGTCTTGACTAACCCAAACTCTAAACCCAGCAGCTTGCATGAGAGTCAGTGAAACAGCACATTTTTATTATTTTTTATTGTTCTGACACAGAGACTTTTTCCCTTCCTGCCACTGCCTGTGCCTGAGCCCCGGCTGACACGATGCTACGGCTCCCAGAGCTCTGCTTGCATTTACAGGGGGAGGAGAGTTTATATAGAGCCAAGAGTTTATGTACAGCTTCCTCCAGCCTTCCTGGGACAGGCAGTACCCAGCGGGTTAAAGCTTCATCACAGTGTGTTTATGTGCTGACAAGGAAACATGATGACAGATAATCCCAAACAACTTCAAAGCAAGATTCGTGAATCCGATATGGAAACTATTCCTAAAGTCTCAGTGTGGAGAGCCCCAGACTAATTACCACTGCGGACATTAAAGGCAGAGCAGGACCCATTGCCAAAAGCCCAGCGCCTGGCCTGGCACCGTGCCCACCCTGCCAAACCCCGGGCTCTCCCCCCACACCGCACCGGGCGGCCAAGGGGATTTGGGGTAAATGATGCTCCTCGAGCAGCTCTTGCTTAGGCAGAGGGTAGAGCGTCACACGGTCCTCACCGACCTCCTGTGCTGTTCCCTGATGTCCCCCGTGGCCCTGGGTTGGGTGGGCAGGGTCTTCCCTGCAGCCAGGACAGCCCCGTCTCGCCCCTCAGCTACGCCAGCCTGCCTGGCAA